TGCCATATTCTACATGTAACCTTCTTGAATTCCTCTTCTTTCCCACCCCACCCCCTCAGCTTCAATCTCTCCCAAAATGATCTTGTATCTATTTTACATTGACCTCTATAAGCAGATGTTTAAAAAGCTTCTCAAGGGATACGATTGTTTTACTTTTTTTTTAAATGCCCAGAGCCTTGTATAGTGTCTGACACATCACAGCTGCATAACAAATACTTATTGATTGATACAGTAAAAGGCATTAAGAAGTGACTGGATAGTGCATATATTGTACATATTGTTTCTCATTTGCTGAGTGAGGATATTGTGGAACATTACAGGGGAGTCTGTGAAGGAATAGCATTTCATCTATGTATCTATCAAAATATTATATTTATACACTTGCAACATCCCTCACCAAACATGAATTTCTGGCTTCTAGGAAAAGGTTATTGGGTTTGCTGATTAAAAAAAAGTTTACAATGAGTGATCTACCACTATAAGTAGTAAATAATAAATAAGAATATTCTAGTGAAAAAATTATAGAGAAGGAGCCATAAGGCACTGTAGTATAGAAGAAAAGGGCACTGAGTTTTAAATTAGAGGATCTGGATTAAAATATTGGCTCTCCTGCTTAACTAGCTGTGTAACTTTAGAGAAGTCACCTATTTTCTTTGGCTTCTGTTTCCCCAATCTGTAAAATGATGGGATTGTCCTTAGTGATCTCTGAGCTTCCTTCCAATTTAGAAGAGTGAAGAGCTTCTCAAAGAATCTAAAGGTTCAAAATAACCAAGAAAAAGATGACAGGAAAATCTAAACTGAGGTTGGAAATGAATTAACAAGTCATAGTAGAACTATGCTATGAAATGGGCCATTGATAACATTTAAACTAGCTGAACTCTTCTCCAATGTGATGGAGAAAAGACAACCAAGTAGCTGGTATTAAATTATTTAGGTTTAGCTGAACAGATGTAACTTCTGGATCACTAATTTCTTGAGGGCACTAAATTAAAAAAAATCAAACAGGAATACTATGACCATTAGATTTTCTTTGGAGACTCTTGTATAATATTAGGAATTAAAAGATCTGAATTCAAATTATGACTGATTTTTTAAGCTTCAGTTTCCTTATTCATAAAATGGTGAAAATAATACTTATAAAACCCAACTTCATAGTGTTGTTGTAAAGAAAGTGCTTTCTAAAGAGCTGGACAAAAGAGAGTTGTCATTATCATTGCATGGCAAGTCCTAGGAGAAGTAAAACTTCTCTAGCCAAAGAGCAGAGAAATTCTTGATTAGCAAATGATAGCAGGTAAGACATGGTTTTTCCAAGGGCCACCTGCCTTATCTGACCTGAATATCACATATTCAAATGCATTTGTGATGTCACTGATGTGGTCATTCTTTCCAATGATGCAGAACACAACCTCTCCATGTCTAAGTCTTGTGCTACTCATGTGTACTCATAAGTTTGCCACAGTGGTCCACCCACTATGTTGGGGACCTTCCTTATGTTCTCTTAACATCCTAAAACTATTAATGGAGCACATGGATTGTCCAGAAGTTATGCCATACTCCAACTACATAACCAGCTCATCTTATTTCCCCTCTGTCTTCCCCCACCACGTATTTGAGGACATTCTTAATTACTGAGAAATACTATTTTGTAATGACAATTGAGATTTTTCCAGGATACAAAAAAAGTTCTACTCTGGTCATTAAATTATCTTTGGAAAATCTCCAAGTAGAAAGAAAAATGTTTGGATTCAGAAGACTTGAGTTCTATATTGAAAAATGTTCCAAATTACTGATAAAACAGTAATACAAGTCTACACTCCAACCACTAATGTTGAAGAGGCCAAAATTGATCAGTTCTACAAAGAACTATAATATCTCCTGGAAATAACAACAAAAAAGATGTCTTATTCATCACAGAGATTGGCATGCTAAAGTAGGAAATCAAAAGATAATTGGAATAAAAGACAAATTTGATCTTGGAGTATAAGATGAAGGAGGGCAGAGATGAATAGAGTTTTGTCAAGGTAACTTGCTGGCCATAGCAAACATTCTTTTTTAACAAACCAAAAAATGACTCTACACATGGACATCACCAAGTAGTCAATACGAAATCAAATTCTTATATACTTTGCAGCCAAAGGTGGAAAAGCTCTATACAGTCAGTTAAAACAAGACCTGCAGCTGACTGTGGCTCAGATCATGAGCTTCTTATTGCAAAATTCAGACAAACTGAAAAAAGTAAGGAAAATCATCAGATCATATAGGTAAGGACCTAATGATATGAAGTAGAGGTGACAAATAGATTTAAGGGATTAGGTCTGGTAGACAGGGCACCTGAAGAATTATGGACAGAGGTTCTCAATATTGTATAGGAGTTAGCAACAAAAAAAATTCCAAAGGAAAAAGAAGAACCAGAAAGCAAAAAGTCTGTCTGATGAGTCTTTACAAATAACTGAGGAAAGAAGGAAAGGGAAAGGGAAAGGAGAAAGGTATAATATATATATATATATATATATAAAACCAACTGAATGAAGAATTCCAGAGAATAGCAAGGAGAAATAATACGATTTTCTTAAATGAGCAATGCAAAGAAATAAAAGAAAACAATAGAATGGCAAAGAAAAGAGATCTCTTCAAGAAAATTACAGATATCAATGAAAAGTATCATGTAAAAATGGGCATGATTAAAGACAAAAATGGTAGATATTTAATGGAACAGAAGAGATTAAGAAGAAGGGGCAAGAATACACAAAAGAACTATAAAAGAAAGATCTTAACATCACTGATAATCACAACAGTATGGTTATTTATCTAGTGCCAGACATCCTGGAGAATAAAGTCAAGTGTGCTTTAGGAAGCGTTGCTAACAATAAGGCTAGGGGAGGTGATGGAATTCCAACTGAGCTATTTAAAACCCTAAAAGATGATTCTGTTAAAGTGCTACACTCAGTGTGCCAGAAAATTTGGAAAACATAACAGTAGCCACTGGATTGGAAAAGATCAGTTTATGTCCCAATCCTAAAGGAGGGCAATGCCAAGGAATGTTTAAATTACCAAACAATTGTACTTATTTTACATGCCAGCAAGGTTATGTTTAAGATTTGTAAGCAAGGCTTTGGTAATATGTGAATCAAGAATTACCAGAAGAGCAGGCTGGTTTTCAAAGAGGCAGAGGGTTTAGAGACTAAACTGCCAATATTTGCTTGGCTTAGGGAGAAAGCATCTATTCCAGAAAAACATCTATTTCTGCTTCATTGACTACACCAAAGCCTTTGACTGCGTGGATCACAACAAAATATGGCATGTCCTCAAAGAGACAGGAGTACCAGATCATCTTATTTGTCTCCTGATGAACCTGTATGCAGGTCAAGAAGCAACAGTTTGAACCAAACATGGAACAACTGATTGGTTTAAGATTAAAAAAGGAGAACAACAAGGCTGTATATTGTCATTTTATATAACTTATATGCAGAATATATTATGCAAAATGCCAGGCTGAATGAATCAAAAGCTGGAATTATGGTTGTCAGGAGAAATATCAACAATCTCAGATATGCAGATGATACCACTCTGATGGCAGAAAGTGAATAATTGTAAAAGTTGGCTTGAAACTTAACATCAAAAAACCTAAAATCTTGGCAAGTGGTCTCATCGCTTCCTGGCAAACAGGAGAAGAAATGGAAGCAGGGTCAGATTTTACATTCCTAGGCTCAAAGACCAACCACTGCAGATAGTGACTACAGCCATGAAACTGAAGATGCTTTCCTTGGAAGGAAAGCTACAGTAAATCCAGATAGCATGCTACAAAGCAGAGATACCACTTTGCTAACACAGGTCTGTATAATCAAAGCTATTGTTTTTCCAGTACCAATGTATGGTTGTGAGAGTTAGACTATAAGGAAAACTGAGTGTGGCAGAAGCGATGCTTTTGAATTATGTTGCTGGAGAAGACTTTTGAGAGCCCCTTGGACAGCAAGGAGATCAAATCAGTCACTACTTAAAGAAATTAATTCAGGCTATTGACTGAAAGATCAAATACTGATGTGGAAATTTAAATACTTTGGCCATAATGAGAAGATAGGACTCACTGGAAAAGACCGTGACGGGAAAGACTGAAGGCAAGGGAAAAGGGGGAAAGCAGAGGATAAGATGGATAGCGTCATGAAAACAATGAATATGAAATTAGATGGATTTTTAAGAGATAGTGAAGATAGAAGGGCCTGGTATGTGCTATTGTCTATGGGGTCAGGAACAGTCAGACATGACTGAATGACCTAACAACAACAGCAAAAATTAAAACAATCCTGAGTTTCGCCTTATCAAGTTATTCATTACAGCATTTTTTTGTGATAGCAAAAAAAAAAGGGAATGTAATAAATTGTGGTATATGTATATAATGAAATATTATTGCTTTGTAAGAAATGATGACTATGAACAATTTTGAGAATCATGGGAAGACTTCTTGGAAGTGACAAACTATGAAGAAAGCAGAATCAAATGAACCATACACAGTGACTACAGCAGTGTAAGTGAAAACAAGACTAAAAGGCAGCTGTGGTTTCAGATTCAATACAGTAACGAATCTGGGTCCCAAAGGATAGTGGATGAAATATTCCTCTCAGTATAGAGGTGAGGGATTGTCATGCAGAATGCTGTAGATACAGTCAAACAGAATTGCTATGTGAATCGATGGTTGAATGTTCTTCTTTGTTACAGGGAAGGTTTATAGAAATGACCAATATATAAAACCAGAGAATTCAATAAAAATTTTTAAAAAATTAAGTAAATGGACTTGTCAAATTCCTGCTGAGAAGTCTTGATCTACATATAGTTAATTCAGAACTAAGAGAGAAAGGCTAGAGGAATGAGAAGAATCTATCAGGACCCCAAACAAGTGCAAGCACCATTTGAATTTGACTTTGATAAGTCTCTTAGGTTTAAAGGGAAGCAATTCCACATACATTTCAATAAACTCAAGTTTTAACAGTGAATTTTTTTCCAACCTGGTGAGTAACGCATTACAGACAGCTGTTCATTTCCATCTGTGTGTACTGTGACTAAATCTTTTGTTTCTGTGTCAAACACAAACCACCTGTTAGAAAACAGAAGAAAATGCATTGAGTTCTTGCATAAGAAAGAGTTTAAAGTAGGTTTATTTAGCTTAATTACTGAATCACAATAACTGTGTCCATTGTAAAAGGGAAAGATCTCTAAATCTCTATTTCAAGTAGCCTTTGTATGTACACATTTTTTAACAATATGAAACTACTTGGTTACTAATACTGTATCACTTTTCTGGTTTTTTTTTTGTATTACAACCTAAAATAGGGCTTATTTTCTTGTGTAATAAAATTATCTTTTATGCTCAACATATGATATGGAAACATATTTCTCTAAGAAAAAACACATAAGGGAAATGAGAATTGTCATTGTGTTTCTGACATGAAGGGGACTGGGAAATATGTACAATTTGGGACAAATTAAATATTTTTATAGGTTAAAATCCAATTAAAAATTTTCATACTACGTAAAACTGGAAGCTAATTTAATATACTCAGTTCAAAAGTATAAAGTGGTCACATAGTTTAAGAGTTTTTAAAGTTTGGAAATTATTCAAGTCAAGTCTGTAGAAAATATTCCTACTTATATAAACATGGAATGCCAGAGGTCTGAGGAACCTAAGTGATCATCTAATTCAATTCCCTCTTTTTACAGGTAGAGAAACTGAGGTCATTAGTTAAGTACTTCACAACCCAGAACGGTTTTCCATCTCTCTCCTTAAATAAGGACTAGACTCTCAGGTCTGCTTTCTGCTCTTCAGCAGAAAAAGCACTAAATTTGAAGTCATAAAACTTTGAACCCAGGTTCAAATTTCAGCTATTGAGCAAGTCACTTCCTGTTTAGGGGATTATTCTAGCTCTGGGTAATTACTTCCTGCACTTCTCATAGATGCAAAACATTCCAATATAAGAAATACTAAATGAAAGTCCCTGTGTGAATTGTTCTTTGAACTTACAGCATGTTTCACTATCTGTTGTCAAAGTATAGTCTCTAAGACCCTTTCAGGGGGTCCTCTAGTTCAAAACTATTTTTACAATAGTACTAAGATGTTATTTGCCTACTAAAATACCTCTCCCTTTTCCAACCACATATCAGTGTGAGGCTGAATTTTCTTCATATACTTCAACCAAAACAACGTATCAACAACAGAGACTGAATACAGAAGCAGATATGAAAACCTAATTATCTTTTATTAAGTTGAACATAAAAGAGATTTACAAAAATATGTAAAATAATCTTTCTTTTCACTATATTTTTTGTTTTTGAAAATATAGTTATTTTCATAAGAATGTTAACATGTAATAAATTCATTGTTTTAATGAATTAATAAGTAAATATGCTTAAAACTATTAGTTTTCATCTTTAACATGGTAAGTACCAGTACATATAATCCACAGAAACAAAAGCTCTTGGGGTCCTCAATACTTTTGAGAGCATAAAGAAGTTCTCAATAATTTTTAAAAATAAAGGGGTCTTGAGACCAAAAAGTTTGAGAATCACTGTTTTAAAGTCTAGAGATTGGCTTAGCACATTTAAAAGTTGAATCAGAAACTTAGGTCAGGAACAAACACAGTGGTATCTCCCTTCTTTGTTTTATCATGAACCTTGTTATGAGCTAATGTACACCTATGTCAGAGATGAACTCTTAGGCTCCAGGAATATTTTCAGAGTTTAATCAAGGCCTTTATCTCCATTGGGAGAGGCCTAAAGCTAGCCATGGGAATGAGTCAGAATCATTTGCCCCTTTCTTTTCTCTGTCCTTAGCTGCCTCAATCAGTTACAATGCTGAAAGATTTCAAAGGCAGAGATAATGGATAATATCTTACTTCTCCAAGAATTGTATGGATTTTGTGGGAAGCAAGGAAAAATTTACTAGTACATATCATCTGTGAGACCTTCACTGTACAAAACAAGAAAGTAATGGAAGTCATCTTTGGTGAACTGCTGTCCCTGCCCCCAGTAAACTTTGAGTAAGTCTTCTAATTTCCCTGGGCCCAAGTATGCTCATTTGTAAAATGAAGTGGTTGGTCTAGATTGCCTCTGGTTGTTCTAGATTTCCTTTTAGCCCTAGATTGATAATCACATAATTTTTGTGGATGAAGACTTAGGAGTTTGCAGCAGCCTGGCCCCCTTCCTCCCACTCCTATACCACCCCATCCTGTGTCCAAACCCCCTGAGGGCTTGGGTGGCTATACAGAATCTTTATAATCTCATGTGGAGATAAAAATTTTATGCATTCTCCCAGCCCTGGACTTTTCCTGGTATGGCTGCTAATTTAGTTAGTCACCAAGCATTTATTATGTCATCATTATTCGTCAGGCACAATATTAAGCACTAGAAGACACAAATAAAGGCCAAAACATGATCTCATCCATGGTCACATTCTAATGAGGGAGATAATATGTTAATAATTATGTACATATAAGGCATATACATGCTATGTGTGCAATGGAAGAGTCACTCTGGGACTTTTTTTCCCCCACTACTTCTCATACTGGAATATTTTGTATTTATGAGATGAGCTAGAAGGCAATAGCCTAGGGCTAGAAAAGGCCCTAAATGGGAAGTGACTTGCCCAAGAGCTGATTATATGCATATCTATATATATATATCTATATATATATATATACATATATATATATACATATATATATATGTATATATATATATATATATATATATATATATATATATATATATATATATCACTAGGTTCAGAGCTTGGGAAGATGGAGGTGCCTTTAATAGGAAAACTGGGAAGAGGAGAGGCTTTGAGTTCTGTTTGGAGCATGTTGAGTTTGAGATGCCTATGGAACATTGAGTTTGAGATGCTTAATATAGTTTGTAATGCAGAACTGGAGCTCAGGAAAGAGATATGGGTTGGATATTTGTATTTGGGAATCATCTGTTTAGAGGTAATTGAACCAATGGGAGCTGATGAGATCACCATGAGGTAGCATAGAAGAGAAAGTGAAGGCAGGCAAGGGACACATCCAATTGTGGGTAATCCTATGTTGGGCCATAGCAATGTTGAGTTACAATTCCGCTCTTCTGATTCAACTAAAGAGATATCTTTTATTTATTCTATCTCATGAATTAGGGTTCACTGTCTCTACACATTACAACAGAAAGAATACAAGGAATGTTAACAACTTCTGAGAAAATCCCATGCTCTTAATCCTATGTTGGGCCATAGTAATGTTGAGTTACAACTCCACTTTTCTAATTCAACTAAAGAGACATCTTTCAGTTATTCAACTCAGTATTTCAAAAATCTGAACAGAGTGAAGCTGACTACAGCATATCCATTTAAAATACTAATCTCTTGGCACCCATTATGTCCTTAAACCAATACAAAGGCTAGGCACCAAAGGGACAATTTGAAAGGGGAGGTCTAGGTTTAAGGGAACTTACTTAAATCTTCTGCATTCAACTCTGGGCCTCAGTTGCCTCATTTGTTATCACTATGCACTACTACATATAGTCTACTGATAGCTATCAGGAGGCACACCCAAAGTCAGGCAAAAATCTGGTAAAACCTGGTTTGAGGTATAAGCATATAATAAGCAGTCTCATAAAACATTCTGTTGAGCTTATCAGACTCCATTCTTGAGACAATGCTCCTTATTATCTGGTCAATTGGTCAATATTTCTCCATCGTTTTTTTTTTTTTTTGGTTTCCATAAAGACAAATCCCAAATGTTCCATTTTGGCAGAGAAAATAAGCACAAAATATATTTGGTTTGAAAACTTAGCAACCCTTTTCTTATAATAACAAAGAACAATAAGGAATATGTAGAGAAAATGTTATTTATAAGAAAGCAGCAAGAAAAAAGTGAATTATGAATGCTGAGTTTTGCTTGTGAGTTTGTACCTGGTCCTTGGTAAAGCCAACTGACTCTAAGGAAATGCAATTGAGTGCTCAATTGGGCTATGTTTGTGGGAGAAATCTAATTTTCAGTGTTACTGAAACACAAAGAAATGCACTTATTAGTCTCACCTTCCAGTTAGTGTTCCAATTGCAATGACAGATCCTGAAGGATGAAAACCAGAAGACTGTGCTGGATCCTAAAATATTTCAAAGGAAGTATAAATTAATAGCCAGAAAAATTTATTCATATTAAACAAATAAAAACAAGGGCTTATTGCCTTAGTAAGATCATGCTATAATATAACACTTTCAAAGAGGAAATTTTTTCTTACTTATTTAGATTGATGCCATATGTCAGGAAAAACAATGGGGGTATAGTAGAAGAAGCTCCTGACTAGGGGCTGGCAGACCTGGTTTCTAGTTCCGGCTCTGGCAGTGATGACTACATGTGATCTTGGTTTTTTTTGGGTTGGGTTTTTTTTTTTTTTGGCTAGGCAATGGGCTTAAGTGACTTGCTCAGGGTCACACAGCTAGTAAGTGTTATGTGTCTGAGGCCAGATTTGAACTCACGTCCTCCTGAATCCAGGGCTGGTGCTCTATCCACTGCGCCACCCAGCTGCCCCTATGTCTAATCTTGGAAAAAGCACATTCCATCTCTGGGTCTCAGTGGTGGTATTATGAGCAATAGGTACAGGTACTAAGCAACAGATTCAGTTTTAATGTGAATATAGGCAGCATTTTCTTTATTGCCTTCATTGTTTCTGTGGAGAAGCCAAGATCCAGGAAGATTCCACAGAAGGATACATAACAGATTTTGTGAGATGTACCAGAAATTAAAATACTATGATTTTCTCCAAAGCAGAGAGTGGGCAATGAAAACTGTCTTGCCCTGAGGGTACTCTGGGGTAGGAAGCTGCATGATAGCATGGGGTAGGTCATGATGTGTGCATTGAGGCATCTAAGACTGGCTTTCTTCCTTCTACTCCCCCATGTTTTGGGACCTCCTAGAAGTAATGAAAATGATGAGACTGAATGGCTACTGATCACAAGGGTAAGCCCAGAGACATAACTAGTACTGCCCTAAAGGCTTGGAAACCAGAAAGTAAGATGAATGAAGACTAGTGTTGAAAGAAAGGTTCTTATTCAGGACAAGTAAAATATTTGAGAGAAAGGTAGAGATGGCGTTTTCATATAGGAAAATTTTATTTCTTTTCCAGTTTATCATATTTAAGATAAGTTATCCAATTACACTATGCTAAGTCTCTTTTGCTGATTCATCAAAAGAATACTCCCTAATAACACCACACTCACTGAGTATATACCCCACAGCTCTGTCTTGGGCCCTCTTCTCCTCTAGCTACATTTTTTCTTGGTGTTTTTATTAGCTCACATGGGTTCAATTACCATCTCTATGCAGATGACTCACAGTTCTCTACATCCATTTCTGGTATGCCTCCTAAACTCTAGTCATACATCTCCAACTGCTTCTTAAGAGTTACATGGTCTACTCATAGTTACCACCTTAATCTAAGTCCATATCACCTTTCACTTAGACTACTGCAATGGCTTCCTTATTTGTTCCCCTCCCACAACTTTCCTCTTACTCCTGTCCATCTTCCAAACAGTTACTAAAGTGATTTATTTACAATTTTAAATATTTTATTTTTTAAATTACATGTAAAAACAATTTTTAGCAATCATTTTTAAAAATTTTGAGTTCCAAATTTTTTCCCTCTCTCCCTCCACTTCCCCTTCATTGAGAAGGCAAGCAATTTGATATGGGTTATACATGTGCAGTCATACAAAACATATTTCCACATTAGTTATGTTGTAAAAGAAAACAGACCAAAAGACCCCAAGAAAAATGAAGAAAAAAGACATACTTCAATCTGCATTCAGACTCCATCAATTCTTTCTCTGAAGGTGGATAGCATTTTCACCAAAAGTCCTTTGGAATTCTCTTGGATCATTGTATTGCTAAGAGTAGCTAAGTCCTTCACAGCTGATTACAGCATTAGTTGTTATTGTGTACCTTATTCTGGTTCTGCTCATTTCACTTTGCATCAGTTCATATAAGTCTTTCCAGGCTTTTCCTAAAAGCATCTACTCATCATTTCTTATATACATTGGTATTCCATCACAATTACATACCATAACTTGTTCAGCTGTTCCTCAACTGATTGGCAGCCCCTCAGTTTCCAATATTTTGCCACCACAAAAAGAGCTGCTATAAATATTTTTGTGTGTATAGGTCCTTTTCCTTTTTTAAAAAATGTTTCTAGAATACAGACTTAGTAGTGGTATATCTGGGTCAAAGGGTATACATAGTTTTATAATCCTTTAGACATAGTTCCAAAACATTCTCCAGAAATGTTTGGATCAGTTCACAACTCCACCAACATTGATTTAGCGTCCCAATTTTCCCACATCCCTCCAACATTTGTCATTTTCGTTTTCTGTCAGATAAGTTGATCTGATGGGTGTGAGGTAGCACCTCAGAGTCGTTTTGATTTTCTTTTCTCTAATCAATAGTGATTTAGAGCAAGATAGCTTTTATTTCTTCATCTGAAAACTACTTATTCATAGGCTATAACAATTTATCAATTTGGAAATGACTTGTATTCTTACAAATTTGATTGAGTTCTCTATAAATTTGAGAAATGAGGCCTTTACCAGAGAGACTTGGTATTAAATTTTTTTTCACAGCTTATGATTACAATGTATTTCCCTCCATTCTATTTCCCCCCTTGTTTATCCTTATTTTGCTTTCCTTTCACTCTGAACCTTCTCAAAAGTGTTTTGCTTCTGATCACCACCTCCCTCAACCAATGCCCTTTCCCCTTCCTTTATCCCTTTCCCCTCCTACTTTCCTCTAGGGTAAGATAACTTTCTATATCAAACAAAGTGCATATGTTATTCCTTCTTTGAGTCGATTCTTATGAGAGTAAGGTTCAAATGTTGTCTGCCACCTCACTTCCCCACCCCTGTATAAGCTCATTTATGCCTCTTTTACCTGAGATAATTTACCCCATTCTACCTTTCTCTTCTCTCTTCTCCCAGTGTTTCCCTCTTCCTCACATCTTAATTTTATTTTTTTAGATATCATCTTATCATATCACACTCATGCCCTCTATGTATACTCCTTCTAAATGTTACAATAATTATAAAGATTTTGAGTTACAAGTATCATCTTCCTATATTAAAATGTAAACAGTTTAACCTTATTGAATCCTTTATGATTTTTCTTTCCAGTTTACCTTTTTATGCTTGAGTCTTATATTTGAAAGGTAAAATTTCTATTCAGCTCTGGCCTTTTCATCAGGAATGCTTGAAACTCCTGTATTTCATTAAACATCAATCCCCCTTCCCCTTGAAGGATTACACTCAGTTTTGCTGGGTAGGTGGTTCTTGGTTGTAATCCTAGCTCCTTTGTCATCTGGAATATCATATTCCAAGCCTTCTTATCTTTTAATGTAGAAGCTGCTAAATCTTGTGTGATCCTGACTGTGGATCCATGATATCTGAACTGTTTCTTTCTAGCTTCCTGTAATATTTTCTCCTTGATCTGGGAGCTCTGGAATTTGGCTATAATATTTCTGGGAGTTTTCATTTTGGGATCTCTTTCAGGGAGTGATTGGTGGATTCTTTCAAGTTCTATTTTACTCTCTGGCTCTAGGATACTAGGACAGTTTTCCTTGATAATTTCTTGAAATATGATTTCTATGCTCTTTGGGTTTTTTTGGATCATGACTTTCTGGTGGCCCAATAATTCTTAAATTATCTCTCCTAGACTTATTTTCCAGGTTAGTTGTTTTTCCAGTGAGATATTTCACATTCTTTTTTTTTCCATTCATTTTTCATTTCATTTCATTCTTTTGTTTTATTGTTTCTTGATGTCTCATGGAGTCATTAGCTTCTAGTCACCCATTTCTAATTTTTAAGGAATTATTTTTGTCAGTAAGCTTTTATATCTCCTTTTCCATTTGGTTAATTCTACTTTTTAAGGAATTCTTTTCTTCTGGGGATTTTTGTACCTCTTTTACCATTTGGCCTATTCTGGTTTTTATGGTATTATTTCCTTTAGCATTATTATTTTTTTTTTAATATTTTTTTTTTGTGCCTCCTTTACCAAGATGTTGATTCTTTTTTCATGATTTTCTTTCATCACTCTCATTTCTTTCCCTAATTTTTCCTCTACCTCCTTTCTTCTTTTTTCTTTTTAAAATCTTTTTTGTGCTCTTCCATGAATTCTTTTTTGGGCCTCAGACTTATTCATATTTTTCTTTGAGACTCTGCATGTAGATATTTTGACTTTGTTGTCTTCTGAGTTTGTGTTTTGACCTTTCCTGTCACCATAGTAACTTTCGATGGTCAGATTCTTTTTTGTTGTTGTTTTTTCATTTTCCAGCCTATTTCATATCTTTTAACTTTATGTTAAAGTTGGCTCTGCTCCTTTGCTGGAAGTGGCACCGTCCCTTATATGCTGCTATTTTCAGAGTGATTTCTGGGGGACTGTATGTTTTCAGTTCTTCCAAGGTGGTATGATCTAAGAAGAAGTGTGGTCATTGCTTTCCTGGCCTGTGCTCTGGTCTGTGACCACAAACACTCTTTTCTGCTTTCGAACTGTGATCAATGTCCTTGATAGTGCTAGTGCTCCTCTTTGCCCTGGGACCGTGACCCAGAACACTGTTTCGGCAATGCAACAGAGTCCTGCACCTAGTGCCTGCAAAGGGTCCCCTGCAATCTGCTTCTGACCAGTTGTCCAATCCTCTTACTATCTGTGGGCTGAGTGCTGTGGAAGCCACTGCTTCTAATTCTGTTACCATCAAGACTGCTGCTGGTTTACTGGGGTGTGGCCTGCACTGGACTGTGTTCCACTCTCACCCCAGTGAGACAAATTTTTCCTGTCAACCTTCTAAATTCTCTTGGGCAAGAAAATCCTTTCACCCCATCCTTCTGTTTGCTTTGCTGTTTCAGAATTTGTTTTGAAGCAATATTTTACAGTTGTTTGGAAGGGAATTTGGGAGAGCACTGGTGAGCCCCTGCCTTTACTCTGCCATCTTGGCTCCCACCTCATACAGTTATTTTACAAAAGTACAAGTCTAACTATTTCATTCCTCTTCTTAATAAACGTCAATAGCCTCCTATTGCCTTTAGGAGTAAATATAAACACTTTTGTTTAGCTAAAACATCTTTCATAATCCTAGCCCTAACCTATTTTCCCAACCTAACATTACCCCTCTTTCCATACTCTACAGTTCAGTCAGACTGACCTTGCTGTCTTTGTCTCTTCACACTGGCTGATTCCCATTTGAGTATAAATTCCCTACTTACTTTTGTTTCTTAGCATCCCTTGTTTACTTCATAATTCAACTCAAATGTCATCTTTTACATGAAACCTGATCCTCACAACTGCTAAAGTCTTCTCCCCACAAACTACCATAAATTTATTTTGTATAAAGTTTATTCATACTCATTTATATACATGTTGTCTTCCTTGATAGACTGAAAGCTCCTTGGGGGCAAGGAATATTTCATTTTTCTCTTTTTATCCTCTTTGCCTATCACAGTTCCTGGAACACAGTAGATATTTAATAAATGCTTGTAGATTAACTAATTAAATCTCTGAATTCAGGATGCTATGATAAGAGAGAAGGGAGCCCAGGCAAAGGGGGTTCATGAACTATATATAGTAGATTTCATATTTTATTATTTTGAACAATATTCTATTTGAAATCCTACACTGATTTTTTTTTTGCCACGTAATTCCTTTTGAGTCCAGAAATACATTGGTTTAGAATTGTACATATTAGAAAAAAACTGGATGATATGCAACATGATCCTAGATTGATTTTGGCTCCAGATAATGTAGCTTAGCAATTCTGTGAAGAGTCGGCTTGGTTACAGTGGCAAACACCCGAAGCATTTGTAAGCTGACTACCATCTGGTGGTCAGTGCTGTTACTGCTGCTTCTTAGAAAGGTTATGAGAATAATGTCCCTGAAAGAAACTGAGACCACGGCCTGGTGGCTCAAAACAGTGTGTCATCTGGTCAACCAAGTAGATACTACTCTCCATCTCTGAATAATATAGTGCAGAGATTCTTTACATTTTTGTATCATGAATCCTTTTTGCAGTTTGGTGAAATCAAACCTCTCCAAATATTTTTTTAATTACATAAAACAAAACACATAGGATTACAAAGGATACTGATTATATTGAAATACAGTCTATAGATAGAAAGACTACAATAATTTGCTTTCTAGTGGTGAGTCTAAGAGCTACAGTGATTTTGAAGTTTTAATGAATGTAAATATTTCAAGATATCTGCCACTTATGTGATGTGATATGAAAAATATCTGTGATTTCTACTGATGACCAAGTCACAGGTACTGCTATTATTACTGTAATTTGTTGCCTATGTTCATAACTGAAAGATACATTTCAGTTAGAGGTTTGTGAAAATAAGGATATAATTCATTATTTTTTTTTACCATCCAAGTTCATAGACTTTCTGTAATATATCCAGTTATCTTGTGAGGTTTAGGGAAAAGTTCTTGGATGCCAAGTTAAGAACTCTCGATATGGTGGTGCATCTTTGGGTTGGCTTAAGGAAAGCACTTCAGCTGCAGGATCTAAAGGGCCAAGGTGTTGGGAGACTCTAAAATATCACAAAGTCATACTAGGAAAAACTTCCTAACAAGTGGAGTTATGCAAAAGTGAAGTTGACTCTTTCCAAAGATAGTGGTTTCCTATTCATTGAGATTTTCACATAAAAGGTGGCAGGACGTTGTTGAGGATATTCCTATTTGAGTTTCCTTCCAAAATGAGATTCTGTGATTCATTAATTTCTAAGGTCTCTTCCAACATCAGATTCAGGTTGCATCTTTGACAGTGGGGTGGGAATCTCTATACTGATAAAATCTTGTTAAATATATGTACTGAATATATAATCTTTCCCTTATACCTTTTCCTAATTAAAAGAGGTAACTATAATTCTTTTCTTAAAAGCATGACAATCCTGACCCTTTTTCCCCTAGTGGTAATTTGATGTGGCATCTTTACACAGTTGTACTGATTTATCAATGAGCATGTTATTGTCCATTATTAAAAATAATGGCTTTACAGTTTGTAAAACACTCTCTACAATCATCATCTGAGGTAATTATCCCATTTTACAGAACAGGAAAGTGAGACTCATAGAGGTGAAATGACTCATAACTTGGCCACAATCACATAGCTAATAAGTGGCAGAGCTAAAACTTAAACCTAGAATTTTTGACTCCAAAGTCAATGTGATTTCTGTTATACCATGAAGACTTTCAAGCAGTAAGATATATGGTTAAGAGTACACTTCTTTTAGTGTTCTATGTGCAACAGCCATTTAAGTCATCTGTGAAGAGTTCATCCAGATGTATATATAGAAGAATATATATACAATACCATTAACTTTCAACATCATACCTGTTAGAAGTCTTTATGCAAAGGCTGGATGACCCTCTTATCTGGTTAATATAATCGAGAGTATTCTTTTTAAGGTATAGATAGGACTAAAAGGCCATTTGGGTCCCTTCAAATTCTGAAATTCAGTGATTATATGAAACACTGAAGCTATAAATAGAATTTTATTTTTTCTCTCTCAGTTTTAAGTTTCAAGTTAACCCATTCAAAAATACTTTTAGATGTAATGGTGAGGTTGAAATAATCTCACATCATTTTAGCCTTAATGCATTAACTTGGTGTGAATAAATCTCAATAAATCAATTATCATAAGTTTTAGAGAAACGTTCTTAACTTTTTTGTCATAGATCCCTTTGGCAGTCTGGTGAAACCCTTCTCAGAATAACTTTTAAAAATGTATATAAAATAATATACATAGGATTAGTACCAAGGAAACAAACTGTACTGAAGTAGTTATAAAATATAAAGAAAAAGCTCCCCTCCCCAAATTCCTGGGTGCCAGTTTATTGAACCTGCAGTATAAAGTGATATTGCACAAGAACAGTGCTTGGATAGGCTGAAAAAACTTGGCTACATCACAGGAGTTGTCTATAAATTCTCAAGCTTGCTAGAACTGGATTTATTTGAAAGGTCAGAGACAATGTGGAGTTCAATTAAGCCTCCTGAGAACCAATTGCATGGGGGGAAGAGGGGAAAGGAGAAGCCTTGGCTCTGGCCTTGGATTAAGTGTCTTCTCTATCCTTTCCGCCTACTATGTCCAGAGGAGAACCCTGCAAGCTTTAAAAGTCTAAAGATTCTGGACTTCCCATTGTCCTATCGTCTGCTAGCTGCAGCTCCCAGTCAATGATGGCAGTGTTTGCATCAGGAGCCAGGGACAGGTGAATTCGGATTCACCGTGCTTAAATGAAACTTCCTGGGTACTCCCAAAAAGGAAGGAAAGGGATTACAGAAATTAGGACTGTGAACTATTCTTTCACCACCTGTACTGGCTAAGCTGGAGCTCACTTTTGTTTGGACTCTATGCACTTATGGAAGAGTCATTGACATTGGGGGTCACAGGCACTGGGGGTATGTCTATACCAACTGATTTTCCATTTCACCTTGATAAATATTCCTTTCTAAAAGCTACTTAAGGTTGGATAACTAGATTGATTTTTTTGGGCAAGGCAATGGGGTGAAGTGACTTGCCCAGGGTAACACAGCTAGTAAGTGCCAAATGTCTGAGGCCAAATTTGAACTCAGGTCTTCCTGAATCCAGGGCTGGGGCTTTATCCACTGTGTCATCTAGCTGCCCCCTACATTGATTTTCAACTGATAATCTAAGGCAAGGAGAATGGGGGTGGGGTGGAGCACATCAGGTAGGGCTTGAAGCTATGGCATTAAAGAATAATCCATAGAGCTCTGAGAAGGGGAGATGTAACTTTGCTTGTAGACCCGAGTCACATCTGTGAGATCAGGAGTTGAGGTAAGGATCCTCAGAGCATATATGGGCTACATAAATTCACAATTTCTCTAAATTATTTTAGCCACTTTGAAATACCTGATCTATTGTCAAATTTCAGTTGTAGAACTTTATAGTTAACATATTCTCTTGAAAAAAAAATTTATTACCTTACCAAAAGCTCAAAAACAAGCTTCCAAATATAAAACAGAAAATGTTTGACTCCAGGTTATTATGAAAGAAATTTTTAAAAGAAATTCATCAAGTGAAACCTTTTACTTTCATGCAAAAATATTTAAGATAATTCATATATTACAATATGTTTTGTAATGTGTAAATATATAAATCAGAACAAAAATACTAGCTTTGTGCAGGCATTTACCTCTATTATTTTACTCCAGATAGGCTGATGACTTATTGCATCCCAGAGTGTAACATGTTTGTCATGCCCACATGTCAAGAATTGAGATTTAGAAGAATGGATGGCCAGCCCCCAGAGTTCATCAGTGTGGCCCTACAAAAAACAAAGAAAAAAATAAATTATTTTGTAAAATATTGAAATCAAAAGGATAGTTTTAGTATATCATTAACTATAGTTGGATAGCGCAATTTGCATTTATTTCTTCAGTTTCTTTCATAATTTACATTTTCAGCTTATAATCTATAAACTGTATCTCATATTTCTATAGCGTTTTTCTTACAACAATCCTGTGAAGTAGGCAGTAAAAGTACATATCATCTGAAACTGGACAGCAATAAAAATATATTATGAACCTATTGTGTTAGGCCCTGGGAGAGAGTTTAAGTTTAGATAAGGGCTGCTCCCTGAATTTATAAAGCTTACAGTCTAGTAGAGAGAACAGACACCAATACAGATAAACATAATACCCAATATTACATATTAAATACATTAGCAAATTACAAAACAAAGTACTTTATGAGCTGTGGTTGGTCGAGGGGATCAGAGAAAGCGACATAGAATAGATGACATTTAATTTGGGCTTTAAAAGATGGATAGGAATTCTGGAGAAGAGGAAGGAGAGCATTCCAGGTAAACTGAATAATCTGAGTAAAGACATGTGAGCATAATTTGTAGTTGGGGGTCAGAGAGTTGTCCATTTCAGCAGAAACAAACAGCAAATAAAAAAGATTTATCTAAGATAAGATGCATCCTTGCTCTGGAGATCTGAGATTCACCTTTGAGGTAAGACTAGAAAAGCAGGGTGGATCCAGTTTGGAGGAGTGGGGAGGGCACTGAACAGACAGAACAGTCTGAATTTCACTTGTTAAACTACAGGAAGCCGTTGAAGATTTTTTGGAGGAATTAATATGACCAGATTCATGCATAAAGAGATTATTCTGGCAGTATATGAAGGATATATTGGAAAGGTAAGAGTGAAGGCCGGAATAACTCCGAATCCTAAACAGACTATTATATTAACACCTAGGCAGCTGGTGGGGAGAACTTTATCAGGAGAGTGGCAGTGGGTATGTACAGCAATGGATGCAGCAGGCACATTGTAGAGTGGGAATCAACAGGACTTGGTAATTGATTAGATTGAGAGAGTGAAGAGTCCAAGATAACTCCAAGCTGAACCAGTAGAGAACCAGGGAATATTGGTGCCTCAGGGAGGAATGATACATCACTATAAACTTAACTCTCTCTAGACTCAGAATCTCAGCACAGAAAGGGACCTTAGAGGTCAACTAATTTAATCTATCCATTTTACAGGTCAGGAACGTGAAGCCCAGAAATGTTACAAGACTGCCAAATCACAGCAAGTTGGAAGGTCAGAGCTGGGACAAGGACCTAAACTTCTTAATTTCCAGGTTAGTGATTTACTTCCACAGCACACTGCCTCATAGTGTATTCTATTACAACTTAAAATAATAAAATATTTGGTTGACTTACCCAGGTTGAAACTTACCTGGGTAATTGGATTAAAATCCCCTGACAGAGTGCCTTGTAAAACAAAGTTCCTAGTAGTGCCAATCAAGACAATATCACCTTTTCCTTCAGCTACTGTTCTTATTGGACCAAATTGTTCTGGAATCTGCTTTTAAAAGAGGCAAATGAAAATAAAAAATTAAATATTTGATAAAGTTATTCTCAAACATAACCATTTAAAACATGTGTGTCTAGTATTCATTATCCAATGCTACCTGACAGGTGCCTTTCCAGTAGGCACACTTCATTCAATAAATATTTGATGAATTAATGACCAAATGATGAAAACCCCAAATGGTTTTTAAAATGTTACTTATTTGAAAGTTCCAAATGGCTGATTCTAAAAGAACCAACAAAATGAGCCTTTTTTTCAGGGCAGGAAGAGGGAGCTATAGAGTTTTCTGGTTCATACCCTAACATTATGAAATGCTATTGATTTTATATTTTCAATGTTTACTTACAGATGATACCTCGAGGGCAAATAGTATATTACTGCAGTATCACATACATACACACATACACACACACACACACATTCACATATACACACATATGTGTATATATATCTCATAATATATATTTAGAAATAAGAAAACATCTTCCTCCATACAGTACTACCCATGACATAATCTCCATCAAGTGAATAATCCATGCTGGAAAGGCTTTCAGTCCAGATTTTGTCAACCATCTGAGGCCCAGCTTAGCTAACACAGAGAGACTTATCAGGAGACTGTGCACTTGAATGAATAAATCAAAAAGTATTTATTAATCTATAGGGCAGATGGAAAGACTCGCTGTTCCTTAGGGTTCAGTAACACGGCACATGATCTAGAGCAGGGCTGCTTAAACTTTTTCCACTCACCTCCCCTTTTCATGTTTTGTTAGCATTTGTTGGTGTTACATGGCCTTAGGGCATGCGCCATGCAAACTGTGCATGCTTTGTGTTCAGTGCCAAGGCTAGAGTGAAGCTGCATGGTGCAAATGGGCAAGCGCTGCCAGAAGCACCCTGTATTCATTATGCATCTGATTTTTAATTAATTTTTGGTTGTTGCACGTTCAGAAACCTTTTACTGCTACCAAATTTTTCATGACCCCAGATGGTCACAACCCACAGTTTGAGATGCACCAAGGGTATAGTGGTAAGGAGAATAGCAAAACGATCCTTTTGCCCACCAGGAGTGTACATTTATTAGCTCCTTTGCTGAAGAAGAAGGCCAACCTCTCCTTTCCTGCTTTGTCTCCTGTCATTTGTAGACTTACTTATATTATAGTACCAGCCCTACTGTCACTGAAACCCTGGACTCCATGACTCCCACAGCCCCACTTGGGAACTAGATCAGGATAGAATAGCCATACGCATGGTTAACCCTTCCTTGCTGCTACCTGAACAAAAAGTGGGTATAGCAGTGGCTAAGACAATTGCTGTTGGTCTCTCTATGACCTAGGACACAGCCACCACTGGGCAGTTGTTGTAATTCAGGCTCAGGCTGGGACCATCACTGCAGCTTATTGCTGCAAAGATTCCCTACGCCACCCCTCCCCCCATATTTCACCATGGTCTGGTCCCATTCCATTGGCTTATGAACAGTGATGTCTACTCGTCACTTAATAATGAACTACTTGGCCATGGCAACCCATGAAACAAATGATAAAATACAAACTAGCCTTCAGCCCTTTGTGGCCCTCTTTCATTTTAGCAGTGACGTAGCAAAGAAAGCTAAGCATCCTACAGTTTTTATAAAGTCTGTAAACACTAACAGCTTAGCTATTGTTATTCTAAATGTAAGATCTTTGTCCAAGGACCAATGACTTGACATAACACAGGATGAACTGAGTCATATCAACTTTGACATTACTGGGTAGACTATTGCGGCAAATTTATAGACATATACAAATAAGAGTTATATAGGATGGACAGACATGGACAGGCTGCACTCCACATCATCTAGGAGAATATTCACACCAATGAAATCACAGAGGCACTGGAATAATATGAATTATAATACTAATAGTGAACACAAATATTAAAATTTAAAAGCTTTTGAAGGGGCTTTGTATATACCTGGAGATGTACATGTTGTTTCCCCCATTACAATGCCAGCTCCTTGAGAGCAGAGCCTGTTTTGCTTTTCCTTTGTAGCTCTTGAATTTAAGAGCTCCTGGCACACAGTAATGCTTAATAAATGCTTATTGACTGATTTTATTCATGTGAATTCTTTGTCCACTAATACAGATTTTTAAAAAAACATTATTTATTCATAGCATTTATTTTTAAAATATTTTGAGTTCCAAATTCTCTCTCTCCCTCCAGTCCCTCCCCCACCCATTGAGAAGGCAAGCAATATATCAATTATACGTGTGAAATCGTGCAAAATGTATTGCCATGTCAGTCATGTTGTGAAAAAGCAAGAAAAATAAAGAAAGTAAAAAAGTATATTGCAATCTGTACTAAGAGCTGATCAGTCTGAAGGTGAATAGCATTTTTCATCATGAGCTCTTCAGAATTATCTTGGATCATTAAATTGATCAGAATAGCTAAGTCTTTCACATTTTATCATCACTACAATATCACTATTATTATGTACAATGTTCTCCTGGTTCTGCTTACTTCACTTTGCATCAGTTCATGTAAGTCTTCCCTGGTTTTTCTGAAACCACCTCGTTCAGTATTTCCTATAGAACAACAGCATTTCATCACAATCATATGCCACAATTTGTTCAACTATTCCCCAATTGATGAGCATCCCTTCAATTTCCAATTCTTTGCCTCCACAAAATGAGCTGCTATAAATATTTTTGTACATACAAGTTCTCTCCTTTCCTTTTTTAAATCTCTTTGGGATATACACCTTGTAGTGGTATTGCTGGGTCAAAGGGTATGTAAGGTTTTAAACTTCTTTGGACAGTTCCTATTTGCTCTCCAGAATGGTTGAATCAACAACTCCATCAACAATGCCTTAGTGTCTCAATTTTTCCAAATCCCCTCCAACATTTGTCGTTTTCCTTTTCTGTCATATTAGCTAATCTGATAGGGATGAGGTGATACCTTAGAGTTGTTTTAATTTGCCTTTTGCTAAGCAATAGTGATTTAGAATATTTTGTCATGTGATTATAGATAGCTTTGATTTCTTTATCTGAAAACTACCTATCCAAATCCTTTGACCATTTACTAATTGGGGAATGGCTCTTATTTTTATAAATTTGACTCAGTTCCCTATATATTTGAGAAATGAGACCTTTATCAGAGAACCTGGCTACAAATTTTTCTCCCAGTTCCCTGCTTTTATTCTAATCATGGATGCATTGGTTTTGTTTGTGTAGAATCTTTTAAATTTAATGTGATCAAAATTCTCCATTTTGCTTCCTGTGATCTTTTCTACCTCTCATTGATGCATATTTTCAGTTCCTCTCTATATATTAGTAGATAGCTTATAAGTTGTTGTGGTCACCTGGTGGACACCTAATGGCCAACCCTAGTGATGAGCCTTTCTGAACTCAGCCAGCCTAATTCTTGAATCAAGAATAACATTTGAAGCTTCTGTTAACTTGATAGGACCTACTAGAGCTTGTACTCTGCTGTTGAGAACCCAAAGTTACCTTCAAAAGGTATCAATAGTGGAGATATGTACTTTATATTTCTAGAGTGCAATACTACATTGCTTTGTGTTAGCAAAATGTAGCATATTGTTGTAATAACTCTAAATAGTATAAATGAAAATGATAAATTATTTGGCAGATTCATCTTATTTAATTTTCAACTATCTGTGATTTTGTCAGTGTGGGCAATCTCTTCACTATCACAAATTGCAACTTTCCAACAACTTAGTAGATAGTTTTTAAGAATTTAAAGGATTAGCTATTTCTAACTTAGCCAGGCTGGATCTCAGACAACACAGTCCCCTCAGCTGTCAGTTTCAAAACCTTTCCAGATTGGTAGGACCTTTGCATTCCACTGGCATACCCTTGGAGAACTCAGGGTCACCTCTGCCGTGATGAGTCACTGGAAGGGGACCCAAGTAGATAGTTTAATGAAGTATTGAACATTTGAAATGCTCTAAATTTGCAGTGAAGTCATTTGAAAGCACATTTACTATAACTAAACAAATGGGTTCTCACCAAAAAAGAAACAAAAAGAAAAACAGACCTCATAATCTGAGAAATTTAAGCATTCTAGTCCTATAGAAATGTAAAACTATCTGCTTCTGACTGAAGCTTGGGTTTTTTCCAAGATGTTTAGATCAGTGCTTCTTAAACTGTGGGTAGCAACACATAGTTTAAGAAGTGCTGAAGGGGTCATGAGTGGAAAAAGTTTAAGGAGTCCTGATTTAGATATTGGTATTTTTAAAAATATGATTTTTGGGAGAATTCTTCATACCAAAGAAGAATTAATGAGTCTGAGCTACTGCTGTACTCCAGGCAAATGCACAATGAGCATTTTTTGTGTGCGTATAGACCACTGTTAAAAACTACTTTATAGTCAGAATCTAAGAAACAGACGTTGGCTCTGACTCTATCACTTCTGAAGTGAATTAACAGTGCAGGGCTGAGACTGAACCTGAGAAAGAGAAGCAGGTGTGTGGAGCTTACTTTTGCCTGAAAATAAGGGTAGGAACTCTTTTGATCATGTAATGGCTATATCTTGAGAGTAAACCACAATAAAGGTGATCTTCTGGGATCCAGGGGAATGAAATGACATCCCATAGGAGTAATGAGAAGTCTGGCAATGTGCATCTGAGTGAGAGAGTATGGCTTAATGAACATCTTGTGCTTTGACTAGGAAGGAACAGAGTTAGGTTGTATTGGCACAGTGAGTTAATTGCCATAGCTACTCGCTAGAGATATGCAGTGCAAGGAAATTCTTTATGTCTGGTATTCTGTGACTATGACTCTGGATTTCTATGAGATGTGCCAGAGAAAGAAAAGTCATGAATAGAGATTGTAGTAGTAACAGTTTGGCATCACAAACAAAATCGTATCTGGCAGGATACCTGTGACATCACTACCCACTGACAGATACAGTCTACAGGGACACATCTGATAAGATGAATGGAGCCCATGAGCACCACATCTGAACATGGTAAATAGTGTGGACTCTTTCAAGAAGCT